TCAAATAAAATCTTTTAAAAAGATAAAAATGAATTAAAAAATAAAATAATAGAAAATTTCAATAAATAGATTGAAAGGGCTTTTTGGGTCTCATTTAATATTGTTATAGAGTGTCATGTAAACAACATTTGCAGTGTTAAGACTTTATCAGTAAAGCTTAGAATCTCCTTTGTGATCCAGGTTAAAGGATCAAGTTACCTCTGTGAGGATAAATTCAAGGTGTTCTTGTCAAAATTCAGAACCAAAATAGCAATTTTCATAATGCCCTCAAATTGGACAGTTCATCTATACCAAAAGGATGCTGACCAACTTTTTTGAACACTTTAATTCAGAGTATATTATTTTCATTCTTCAACAAACTATGGAAGACAGCCTTCAGTCTTTTTGTTAGCCAACCAGGAGAAGAATGGAAAGGCTAAAACAAAGAGACTACAGTTGGCTTTGTAAATTTAATAAAAATTGGGGAAATGAGAGAACATGGAGAAGTAGTTTATACATTGATTCTTCATTTATTATAGTAGGGGTCAGAAAATATCATTTAAAGTTAAAACTGATAAAGATCTAATACAGTAAAAAAAATTGATAGTCATATAATTGAATGATGAGGCAGGAACAGGAAGAGTATGCTAATTTAATTGTTACTGATAGTAGAGAGCAAATATCAACAACCAAGTATAAGTTATTTTGAATTTCTGGAAACATACATTTTCTAGATTTTTAAATTTAATAGGTAAAATAAGTACATTCCACATAGTGTAAAAAAAAAAAACAAAACGTTTAGGCTATGAAAAGTCGAAGTGTAACAAAACTGTGATGGTGTGTCAAGCTACTAGGATTGCCATAACAACATATCATAGACCAGATGGTTTAAAAACAAATTTATTTCATCGCAGTTCTGGAGTCTACAAGTCCAAGATCATTTTGCTGTCAGGGTTGGTTTCTGGTGAGGACTCTTTTCCTGGCTTAGAGATAGTTATTTTCTTCATCTGTCCTCACAGGACCTCTTCTCTGTGAATGCAGAGGAAGGAGATCTCTGAGCTCTCTTCCTCTGACAGCGACCCCATTTTTATTAGATTTGGGCCTCACCTTTCTAACTTCATTTATGCTGAAGTAAAGGTCTCCTTGAAGGACCTATCTCCAAACACAACCACATTTAGGGGGTGATGGTTAGGGCTTCAGCATTCGAATTTTGGGGGCACATACTTCAGTCCATAACAGATGGAGTCTCACAAAAATTGAACATACAGTAAGCTACCATAAAGAGTAAAAACAAACAGTGTTCTCTGATCATGATGGAGAAAGACTAGAAATTAATAAAAGCAGACAACAAAAAGACTTCACAGTCTGGAAATATCCCGAACCTCAGAATTTCTAGAAAATAACAAAAGCTATATTTAAAGGGAAGGTACTTTTAAATATCAATTAAAAGGGAAAGAATGAAAATAAATGGAATAGGGCACCTGGGTGGTTCAGTTGGTTAAGTGACTGCCTTTGGCTCAGGTCATGATTTTGGAGTCCCGGGATTGAGTCCCTCATTGGGCTCCCTGCTCAGCAGGGAGTCTGCTTCTCCCTCTGACCTTCCCCCCTCTCATGCTCTCTCTCTCTCTCTTATTCTCTCTCAAATAAATAAATAAAATCTTATAAAAAAA